CCGTGGTCCATAAATAATTTTATTTCCGACTGAACTTAGTAACAATTTGTTGAAGAGGCTGACAAAGAGAATCATTTTGATAGAAGATTTTAATGAAATTGTATTTAAAAACTAGAGGTAATTAAGGGAATCCTTAATCTCCAAAGGGAGTTATGACTCTTTCTATTGTTAGCATATTCAAGACAATATAAGATAATAATAGCCCTCTCATAAATAAAATTAGGAAGCATATAGGTATATTGAGGGGTAAGAGTGAAAGCCCGATAAGTCGGTCAAAATTTAAATAGTATATTTCATTCAGTAGCGTAATTACGATGTGGCAAGGGGTGGCAGTTGCCATCCCAGAATTCCCAAAACCCTCTTTTTACCACCCAAAAAATCGGCAGTAAACATATCAGTTATTTGCAATCAAGTAAAAAATTACAGTTTATAAACATGTCACAATCTTGATTCTTTATTAAACTTGTCTCAGAAACCCTGTAATATGTAATGCAATGCGTTTAAAATAAAACATTGTAACATAACAAGGCACATCAATAATAAACAGAACAATGAGTATAAATTATTTAACATTTATATGCTGGTATATTATGTAAAAAAGTTTTAAAAATGCATCATTTTATCGCCAAAATTTAAAAAAATTACGGGGGTGGACCCACCTTTTACCTGAAGGTATTCCGGAGCCCCCGGCAGACCTTGCCACCCCAGTTTAAAAGCTGAAATTACGCTCTTGATTTCATTACGACTGCGACTCCAGAAAATGTGCGTTTCTCGTGCGGGCATGACAATTTCCCGTGCGAGGCGAAGCCGATCGTGGAAAGTCATGCAAGCACGGAAAACGTATTTATGAACGTGTAATAAACGATACTTTTCATTATCTGAAAGCAAAAACAAGTATTTCTTGCTGATATATTAATGTATTAACTAGAATTTAAGAGACTGAAAACTGTCATAATAATATAGGCGTTGTTTAGTGTTGCTAACGCGATGCTAAGGAGTGATACAAATATTGTTCAGTGTTGCTACCAAAAGTAAATAATGACGTCATTTACCGCATGGGAAAAGCCCATTTTCGGTACGCCAAATTGACGTGTAAAGATAGTGTTTTCAGAGAGGTATGATAAAAAACTATTTTTTTGGGTATATTTTAAATGAGCACCAACATAATTATTGAGCCACAACATTAAGTGACCAAGTTCTGTACAATGTCTTCAAAATATTATTTGGCCACCAAGAGTAATTAATGAGCACCAAAAAACCTCAAACAGAAATAGAATTTATGAGCTCCTGAAATGTTAACAAAGTTGGCATAAATAATAAAGCCGTACCTAAAGTAATACATTAACACCAAAAATATTAAATAATCTCCAAAATGAATGTATGATATCCAATAAAAGTCTATGAGCTGAAAGTTAAATTAAATGAAAACCCAAATTAAACAATGTTTCCTAAGAATTATCAGTTCACACCAAATATACTATACAAATCCCAAAATAATGATCGGGAATAATATGTGAGCACCAAAAAAATAGACCAGGTTGTCAACCTGTGTACGACATGACACCCTCCCAGAATGTAATAGAAGTTGTCTTCTTGTTTTAGTTTCAGTGCTTGATTGTATAATTTTTTATGCCTGTGTTCTTGGGATTCAAATGTATTATTGTGATGCCGATTCTGGTTTATTTTGGTTCTTAAATATTTAATGTTCAAGTAAGATTTTTGATGGCATACGACAAATATTTGGAGATCATATCAATATTACTTTAGTGCTCGGTTAAATACAACCAGATTTTTTTATATCAGGCAATACTATTTTTGGTGCTCTTTTGATTGATCCAGTCAAATTTCTGTGTGATCTTAAAAACTACCAAAATTTTTATACGTCGATATACCAATAACTAGCTTTTCTTACTTATCGGATTTTCACTCTTATCCCTCGATATATTTGAATAAAGTGGTGGAAAGTTTTTGGGTTTAGGACAAAATAAAACTCCTTATAATAAAAAGACGTTTCGACGGTCTTTATCAAGCTGTAACAAACCACATTACAATATTTTTTGCTGATGTTGAAGCACATAAAAATATAAATTCATAACCAACTTTTTAAAATATTGCAATACATTATTTCCATAAATTAGAAAATTAACGTAACGTGTGAATATTGTTTTGGTAAACATTTAATTCTCTTGCAAAGTATCATGTGCCACAGCTTGATGGTACACCCCACTTTTTTCCACATTTTTTGAAATAGAATTTTAAAATTCGGAACGTCAATTGTACACAGTAAATACTAATTTTTCACGTTAAAACTAATTTTTTTCAACTTTCCGTTTTACCGGAATGACATCAGCCCATGATTTCTATATGGGACACCCTGTATAATATTACATTTTAGAAATATTCTCGATGAACGGATTTCAATTATGTATCACGCTTTATGTCTATTATGTCCAGTAAATAATCTACAGCCACTTAAAAATCACATTATTCTGAATTTGGATTGCTGCAGTAGCCAAACGGTTGAGAATCGAGAAAAACGGCTTACATGTCTCGATCCTAACTTGTTGAGAGGTATACAGTAGCATATAAACATATTTAATACAGGGTGATAAAAAAAACGAAATTATTCATCACCCTGTATCGAATAATTTATATGCCACTGTATACATCTCAAAAATTTAGGATAGAGACATGTAAACCCTTTACTCGATTCTCAACCGTTGGGCTACTTCAGCAATCCAATATTACAAAAATGTTATTTTTAGGTGGCTGTCTTTCCTGTGCATAATGGACATCAAGTGTGATACATCACTGTAATCCGCTCGTCGAGAAGATTTCAAAAATGTTATATTATACATGGTGTCCCATTTAAAACTCAAAGGCTGATGACATTTCTGGTAAAACTGGAAGTTGAAAAAAATTAGTTTTTACATGAAAAATTGGTATTTACTGTAATGTCCCGAATTTGAAAATTCTATTTTAAAAAATGTGGAACATAGTCGGGTGTACCATCCAGCTGTGGCACACGGTATATGGTGTCTGTTTCTTAAGATATAGTTAAATACTTTTTCTATTGGTCTATATATATTTTTTTTTCTTAGATCTTAAAGAAACCAACTTTGTCACTTTATTAAAAAAATATCCCTATCGAAATATTTAGCCCTAAAGCACCTTGGGAGGATTCCGCTTAACTGTCACCAACCCGCGAAACGTCTTGGATGCAGTGAACAGTCATGTCCTATACAATACGGAGGCCACTTGAAAATGATATTACTATACAAATGCAACTAACTAATCGAACTCAATTTATTTAATCCATTTTCTTAAAAACCTTATGAACAAAGTTTTTGACCTTGTCTAAAGCAAAGCTATTTATAGAATGATTTAATATTTTGAAGTATATGTCCCCAGAAGGTGGTTTAAAAATATACGACGTAGCGTTATACATGGCAGCACTAAGCAAAGGGAGATAGTGGCCTCCTAGTGATTCTAAGAGAACGGTTCTTTAATACCTAATTTAACACTTACGATTTCCGGTTCTATGGGGACTTTACGATAAACTAGGTACAGTTCGAATCAGCGAGACGAGACGAGTCGATTGTAATAGAAAAAACCTTAGGCGGACACGGAAATGTCCCCACAATTCATGAACGTCCGTACAAGGTTAGCTATAGGTCGATGCATGTCCTCCTAAGGATGAGCGCATCAACACACACACACACACACACACACACACACACACACACACACACACACACACACACACACACACACACACACACACACATACATTTTTAAATTATTTTTAATATAGTTTTTTTACTCTTTGATGGCTTACCTTAAATTGATTTTGTTTATTATTAAACTGTCGAGTCAAAATAGGAACTTGATAGTTATAAGAATCTATATATCGTCGCCTTAGTAAGAAACCCACGTAACTCTATTTTAGTAAAATTTACAGGAGAAAAGAAAAACGTTTTGTAACCGCCCTATTGGTGATAACATTTTTAAATCTTTCATAAATAGAGAAAAATACTTCAGATTTAACATTTTTGGTAAAAATAATAAAATTATGTAATTCTTGTAATTGAAAAAGAAGTTACGCCATTTTCTTATAAAAAATCTAAATAATAATTGGAGATACGTGGTTTTTATAAATAATATATACAAGGAAGCTAAACAAAACCTATTTTATTTTAAACAAAATACGTATTTTACATACAGTAATGAAATTCATAACGAACATAAAAGTAAGTTTACAAAAGAATAATTTTATTCATAATAAGGAAGGTCATCGTAAAATTGATGATAATCTTCTAGTCCTAATTTTAGAATTTGAAGGTGATCATATTTCTCCTTTTTTATTTTTCTGCGTTCTGTATACAAAGATGGCAAATCGTCATACTTGCATGGAACCGTTTTTTTATTTATTCTTTGGTTTAATGTGCACCAATCATCGGTATGTCTCATTTTGAATTGGATTTCACAGTTTAGTAAATACCTTAGGGTATGTCAGTGACAACGGGGTCGCCAGTGACTGTTCGTATTGAAGTATAAAATTTTATACCATCAAATTTTTTAAAGAATAAATGATTGATATACTTGACGTTATATGGAGATGGACTTGATCTTGCCTTTTGGCAGTAATAAGCATAGTCAGCGGGAAGATTTATTTTGCTATTTCTAATCTGTCGTTCAATTGTTGCATGCATTGAGTCCACCTTTATCTGGGTGTGTCCTTTGAATAAATACTTCCGAGTTAAAACGATTTTATGCTGGGCAGCTAAGTTTACAAACGCGTTAGCCAGTGTTGAATTGCGGTTTTGACCCGTGCAGCCATCACTAAAAAATATAATTTCACGTAAGTTTCCGTCACTCTTTTTTATTTCTTGTTCAATAAAAAAGGAAATTATGGTGGAAAATTCGTTTGCAGTCAGGCCTCCTTCACTTTCATTCCACAGGAAACAAAATCCTTCTTTGGATTTAAGATTATAAATGGTTTAGTTATAAACTACCAGTTTTGTTTTATAGTACATTGCAGATACTGTTGATTTAGGACTCAATAACACGCTTTGTAAGTCCATTGCATAAACATTAACTGTTTCGTCGGTAGTAGTTTTGTCTTTTTCTTTTTCGTGACGTGCCTCTAATTTTAAAGTTTGATGAATATTATAGTCTTCCTCAGATAAGTTTTTTGTATTGTATGCCTCGCACACGTCGCACAGATCCTTTTTTGGTAGGTAAAGTGACAAATTCAGCTTTTCAAATATCTTCATGAACGTGAATATGGATGGAGGTTCCAAATTACGTTCGTTGCAATATTCTTTTTTAAAAAAATTATACAGGGCGGCAGTTGAACGCCAAAGTGGCTCAAGATACAATTTTTTCGAAGAAGACCTACAATAATGGCTTTCCATTTTTGGTAACGCTTCGAGATTAAATTCTTTTATCCAAGTCAGTACCATTGTTTCTTTTAACCCTAATGTACTTCCGAACATACGCTTGCAAACCCTTATTCTTTCCAAATCCAATTATAAAAAATATTCTTCTTCTTTTAACATTCTCACATTGCACCAGAGGATGTACATGTAGTTTCCTCTCACTCCAATCATTGTATTCCAAAATGTTTGAAACATTTTTAAACGTTTTTCTTCCGTCATTTTTTGACATTGGATAGCAACACTTTTTTTACCGAGGGAACAGTTGCACGGATTTGACAAAAATTTACCTAAAAAATAAATCTTTTGTTTTTTTACAAAATAATAATATTAAGTTTTTACCTGGTTTGTTTATGTTGTAGTTCCAACAACCTGCAATTTCCTTATTGCCTTGGTAAGGCTGACCTTTTAATCGTTTATATTTATTTATATTATAATTCCATCCTTCAGAATATTTTCTCTTCTTTCGAATTTTTGTATTATTCAGGCTGATATCAGACTCGTTTTTTCCGCTGTTATCATCTTCATCTGCAGAGCTATTACAACGTTCGTTTTCTGGATTCTCTGGGTTTTCCAGTTCATTGTTTATGCTAAAAACATCGTTTATGTCTGTCGGCAAATTTAAATGGTCAAAACTAGTCGGAATATTCGATGGTGGAGCCTCAAGATTATTATTTAATATTATTATAGTTTCTGGTTCACTGTTTATGCTTTTAGCATCGTTAAAGTCTGTTGGCAATTCTATATGTTTAAAATTGTTAGAATTATTCGGTTGTGGAGCCTCATTAATAATAATATTTAATATAGGTTCATTTACACTACTAGGCAATTGTGTGTAAATCGGAGACAAAGTTCCGTCTTCTCCAATTATGTATTCGACGGTATCCACACAAGAATCGCTTGCTTGTTGGTTAACCATATCCATGAGTTTTGTTCGAAATGACATTATAAAATTGGAAATTAACTATGTTATTTGTCTATAATAAATTATAACCATTAAAATTAAGCAAAAAAATGTATCTACATTTTTTATTTATCAATTTTAGATAAATGGAAAAACGCGTAACTACACAATAAACATATTTAAGTAAAGTTGGAAAAGAGCGTATGTCCATAACCGGTAAAAAAGTCACAAAATAGACCAATATAATATATTTCTTTGATTAATCGAACTTTTGAAAATACTACAATGACCTTACCTTGAAGATAAATAAGTTTTTTGCTCAAAAATGAATATACTTCTTCACTAACTTATTGAATTCTTGCGAGCACATGCACACACTGTTGAAATATTAGGCAAACTAGGAGTTAAGCGAATTTCTTTACCTAAATTTGACACATGGAAATACGTGATTTGCTTGACCAAATTTTTAGGCGGGAAATATTGTTCTGGCAGTTACGTGGGTTTCAGACTAGTAAGGTTTGATATTTTTCTATTAGATGGCATTAAAAGGTCAATTTGACCTAAAAGTGAAGATACGCGGTTTTCTTACTAAGGCGACGATAAGGAAGTATTTTTATCAAATTTGTTCACATAGGTCTTATTTTTAAATGTATTTGTAGAATATTTTTTAATTTTTTTTTAATTCTTCAACTTAGGACTACGTCGTGTTAAAATGTCAAATTGATGCTGTGTCTAGTTATTCAACACAGTTTATTGACTGATACTGCATTTTTTAATGACTTTTTAGAATATTTTTTTTACTTTTTGAAGGCTTGCGATCCCTTTTACTGTTTTCCTTTACACAATATTTGTTTTAATTATATTAGATTAAATAGCTCCAAAGATAACTACGCCTCTGAATGTTCATTTAAAGGCTTATCGTCAAGATAAATATAGAGATTAATTACTTTTTAAATAGTTAGGAATTTATATATTTTGAGGTTTTCAATCCGGTTATTGATATGGTCACCGATAAAAATACAATAAGAGATTATTTTAAATCGGACTTTACCGCAGCAATCCAGAAAAGGCAATGTGAAGAACGTAATCTGCGATCAAATAAAAGAAGACAGCGGGATAAAGCAATTGGAATTTTAAAAGCAATTGAAGCCTTCTCCCGAATGCCCCTAAAAAAACTGGTACTTGGATCATGACATCAGTATTTGCAGTTTTTCAAAAAAATTCTCCCCAAAAATGAATAGTTGCTAATAATCGAATTAAATTACGGGTTTTGAGCTTACATTAAATTGTAATTAGATGAAACAAAATGGATTCTATGTATTTTGAGGTGATCTTTTCGAAAAAAGGCAAAACAAAATGTAGCAGTTTTTCGAAAGTGCCGAAATTTTGGATTTTGTCAATTTTTCAATTTTGCGCAGGCGCATGTCGGAAATAAATCAATATTTTTAAAACGCAGTTTACGACATTTGAAAGCTTAGGAAAAATGCTAATTTTTATGTCTACTGAGAAATTTTGATCCGATGCACCGTTCTCGCGGTATGGACGATTGAAATTTGTTTAGTATTTTGAGGCGACGAAGGTCGAAAAATTGAATTTGTTAAATGTTCAAACACTAAATTCTTTATAACATTGATAAAAATTAAGATATTTGAAAAAACAAAAATTCGTTTTGAACTTAAGGGATGTGACTAGTGATTCCCAGAAGGGGGCAAGAGAAATCCCAAAATTGGGCATATGGCGGAAGGGCAAAATGCACCGCGGTCCTAATTTCATTGTTTGCCTATAACGGCCAAACTATTTGAATTTTTTTAATGCCAAAGGTTACTCTAAAATGTGAAATCTTATGTGTGTGTGAATTTCACCGACATCGGACCATAATTGGCTAAGATATCAAACAATTAAATAATTTTTTTTTCCTTAAAAAAAAATTTTTTTTTCGAAAGTTTGAAGTGGCACAGAAATGCCAAAAATGGCTCAAAACTTTTTTTTTTGACTACTCTATTGTATCTAGAATACGATGACATTACGGAAAATTCTACGAATATATTTTATCTAATTTTTTGACCACTGTTCATTGAGTGACGATCAAAAAACACGGTTTTTGAGAAAAGTTGCCTAAAATTGACAATTTTTAGTTTTTTTGTCTGAAAATTAAACAAACCCAAATTTCATGTCTTCTTAATGTGTATACAAAGTTTAAAGTGTGTATGTTACTTCTAAGTTGTAAAATTCTCCCGACAAAAGTCCCATTACGCGCGCTCCGTGGGATCCAAAACTCGTGTATACACTACATTACTGTAATTTGATTTTTTTGCGTTTTCCAGTTTTAATTTTCTTACATATCTAAATTTATTATGCTTAAAATTTATTAAATTGTGTTTTACTGACTTGTTATAAGACGTTTCTTGAGTTTTGTGCCGCGGGACTTATTTTATTTGAGAGCCAACAAAAAAATACGCAACTTCTCTCATGGGCACATATGTCTAACATTTATAATTTCGCCACAAATTCATCGCAAATTTCATGTCCATAGTTCTGATCAAAAAAACGAAAAAACGACTTTTTGGTAAAAGCACTTCTGGCGGCGAGAAATTCGCCATTAAAACTACCTGGGCAATGAATTTCCGAACTATTTTTGCCTCCTCTTTCGAATGGTGCATTTATTTTCACTATCGGAATGATACTTGCCCAGATAATTAGCATTTTTACAATGGAAAATTCTGGAAAACCCGGTTTTTCCTAATTTAAAAAAAATTGAAAAACTGCTACACCTTTTTTTTCTTTTTTTCGAAAAGATCACATCAAAATACACAAGGTCCTTTTTGTTTCATCCAATTACAAATTAATGTAAGCTCGAAGGGGCTTTTTTTCGTTATTCAATTAGACTATAACAGTCCTTAATTAAACACCCTACCTTGTGCTGTGGTTTTACTCAAATCTTATTCGTTCAAATTGTGCATTATTTGACGTTTTTTATTATAAACTTATGTAAGATACATTTATTTAAAATAAAATGTCTTTGCTGATTGAACTTTATCACATATCTTATTCTTGTTTTAGTTGCAATAATAAATTAACCAAAGACATTACAACTAAGAGACCAAATTCTTTACATTTTTATGTGGAAAATCATTATTCCCACCAGATTCTCGTTTATTGCGTCTTTGGCGATTTTATCAGTGTGTCAAAATTATTTGAAGAAATTACTTTCGAAAAATAAAATATGATGTGTCCTGTAACTATAATTTTATATTATATAAATAAAAATTTGTTTTTAATCAAATTATTCTTTGAAGTTTTAATATAAGCTAAATTTTTTATTAAAAAATCAATATTAATCTAAACAAAATATTAGGGTTTCGAAGAACTCCGTAAATACGGCAACGCTGAATATCTTATTTTACGAATTTACAATTTTTATGAATAAAATGTAGTACCGTTACCAGCCGCAACGTTGCCAATCAGGTCTAACAGCTATTTTGTATTTCTGACAGTATCTGAGAGTTTCTGTGTAACTTATTGATTTATTCATTTATAAAATACTATTTTTGTGAACTTTTGTGAGAAATATAAAGAATTATGGTACATGCATGTGTAGTGTTCAAAAAGGTAGATCATTTAAGTCGAAATGTATGGTTTCATCGGTAAGTACATTTAGGTTAAGATATGTTGTTTTCATTTGAACCAGTGGAGTAGGGCTTGTACAAGATTTGATACAATTTCTTATAGAATTTAAATTATATAGGATCACATAGTAAATTGTTTGAAAAATGATTATCCAATCTAATTTTTCAGACAATTTACTGCAGATTTGATAATATACAATTTAAATTGTACCAGAAATTGTATCAAAAACTTGTGTAGTCTAAAACAGTCTTAAAACAGTTTTTAAAGTGATATTCCTTTTATAAATGAGTAAATTATACCAATAAATAATTATTGAATAGTGGCAAAGAAAATTTAACGTAAAATGTAGAATAGGTACCTTAAAAATGATTTACCTATTGAGCACCTATACATATTTTTTTATGACTCTATTTAGGTTTCCGCAAGATCCTGAGAAAAGAAAACTTTGGTTTTCTCTAATAGGAATCCTTGAAAATCAGCCCCTTTGTAAAAATCAAGAGTTGTGTTTAGAACACTGTTTTCCTGAAAATGTTTTGGTACGTGCAAATGGTACTAGATATATTAGAAAAGACGCAAACTCCAGACGGTGTGAGGGCTTTCTATTTTTGGATGACTTATCCAACAGGTAAAAATACGAAATATTAATTTTTTGTTTACCTCTAAACATTATTTATTACCTATATGTATGTATATCTAATGTATGGGTTTTTAGTTCTGATTCAACTGTTTTTGGAACACCACCTGCTGCAAAAAGAAACGTTGCAGTAAGTTATAACATTAATAACTAAGCATAAAAAAATTAAATGAAATTTTAGTTAATAAAATTAACGTATTTTATATATTTAAAACATTATTTTAAAAATTTTTATAGTTTTTTTACGTTATTTTTTGCCATACCATGTTTTTTTGTAATTATAAATAAAAAATTATATATTTTTAGGACAGTGTTTTATTTAGATACCCCTACCATTTAATGTTATTTTAAAATTTTAAATAATTTTGGTTAACATCAAACCAGGCAAATATATAGTAAATGCCAATAAACTATAAACCAATAAATATTAAAAATCGAAAGGTAACTTGAATTTGCTTGTATTTGAACTTACTTGTACTTGAATTTACCTACATGAAAAATCAGCAAGTATCATGCAAAACTATTGTCATATACTCTGAAGGCAATTCTCTCACCAGAAATCAAATCACGACTGGTGAAAGACTGTCTAGAAGACCTGACAGAGCTAAGTAGTTAAAATAAGGTGACCTTAGCCTGGGTTTCAGGCCATGAGGGATATCAGGGCAACGAAAAGGCCGACGAATTAGCGCGAGGAGGCTCAGATAAGGCCATGACAGGCCCCGGACCCTTCTGTGGAGTTGCTAAGGCATTGTGCAAGGTATCCATTAAACAATGGATGCAA